AGTTTTGCCCATCCAATATGGCGGTGATGTTGGCAGCAACAAGCTGAAGCAGTCAGTGATGTATGACGAAGTGATAAAGCAGTGTCCCAAGTAAATTATTAAAGGTAGAAATTGCCCAATTTTCAACAAGCTCTGTGCCATTCCAGTGTGTCAGGCAGGACTCAACCACATTGTAATGACACAGAGCAGGTTGAAAATTGTCAGTCTCTGTTTCCCTTGCAACTTTTCTTACCTTTCTCTCTCTCAAACACACACAAGGACACTCAGTCCCTGTCTCTGTCCGTCTCAGTCCTCAGTACTGTAATGTTATACTTCACAAAAATGACAGTTGGCGGGTCGGATTCAGGTGGTTAATTAATGCATATGCATTGGCTCTCATATCAGGTCAAGTGAACTCTAGTGTTTATACAGTTTAGAGGCGCAGTTATGATAAAGATGGCTCCGTCATCAATCCAAACTTTCAGTCCTGAAAACAAAAATGGTGAAAAACAGTCAAACTCCACAATGCAGTACTATATACCAGAGGTGGGACAAGCCATTGTTTTGCAAATCACAAGTAAGACTCAAGTCTTTGCGCTCAATTCCCAGTTCAAGTCCCAGGTTCTAAAGTTTGCGTTTCAATTCCTAAACAGCAAATATAAGGCCATTTTAACAGCAGAGTAACAACGTATTAAATTCACAAAAATCACAATGTTGTTACAGTTTGTACTGATTTTTAAAACCTTTGTTGAAAGTTGTCGTGTCTCTGTAATTTTCAACCCACACAATTTGCATACTGTACTTCATTTATATATATATATATATATAGTTTACCACTGTATTGCTTTGTATGCAAACAAAGTTATCTTTGGTATCATTTTTTTTGACTGTAAGTAACATAACATAACTTAAAGCCACAGTGTGTAGGAATTTCTCCCATCTAACATTGAAATCATATATTGCTTTCAAACACGTATTGCAACAACGGTAGCAGCTGTGTACCAAAAAGCTATGATAACATTGATGAAACCATTTCATCTGATACTTCATGGAGTATTCATTCAGGCTCCTACACAGACACGCGTGATGTGAGCTGTGATGAACTAAGAGTCTCATCCTACTCTCTAATGTGCTATGTGTGAGCTCAGTCCTGCGTGTTCTTTAATGAAGCAATAGGAGAAGATATTCGGTCTCAGTTAATGTAGTTTATTAAGCAGTAAAGGAATAAAATTACAGAGCTCTGGGTCTCAACTTCACGTCCCTGACGAACAACAAAGGTGTGTCAGTTCACGAAGTCTGACCTCCTGTCCTTTCCCTGACCCAGTATATTTGAGCGTAACAGAGTGTCATTGTGCACGCAAGGCGTTGTCCTCTTCTCATTGGCAGTTCCACTTCCTCCTTCACCACACCACGCCCCTGCCTCGTGTTAATCTGACTCCTTCCCGCTGGCGGTGGGGGCATGGTTCCTGTTTTGAAAGACAAGAGAACAACACAACTCCCTACACGTGCTGTACCTTACTATCTGTATATCACTTTCTATTCTTTTTACCATATATGAAACTAATTATCTAAGCATTGCGGTATGTGCTCCTCAGACTTCATGTCTCTTCCTCTCCTGTACTTCTCCACTTCTGCAAAGCAAACACATTCAGATCAGCTGAAATCATCTCAGTATTCTCATTGTTCACACATCTAAAACTTATATAGTGAAACACAACTTATAGTAAAACACATAACATCATTCTATTCCCAACAGCTGACAAACCCCCTCCTCACGATGCTGGCTGTGTTTTTAACGTAGGACTGTTGGGGCAGGTGTAAATCGAAACAAACCAATCACGTCTTGTCTTTTGGCAACTGACAAGTGGCTCAACCTCACACACCTCATCCCTCTCCTTGCAACACTGCGCTGCAAACAGCAGCTCTTTCCACCTGGGAAAGGCTACCCCGATGTTGACCCTCGTTTTTTGAATTTGCCGGTCACGTTTACCCTGGAAATCCGTGAGAGCACAATTTGAATTTGCACTCTGGCAATCAGTAATGATGCTTATTACCTATGCCCATGAAACTGAGCTGCACCAATCACATCGGTGTATCTGATACAGGCGGGCCAGAGGCGAACTAAACAGATGACGACAGCACTGCGACGGTGAAGTCCGGAATCAGTCAGTAAACATTGCAAGATGGCTACGTATGATCACCAGTTGTTTGAAACGGCTTTGGCCGCTACAATGAACAAGTTAGACTTGTTTTTTTTCTGTAAAAGAGGAACAGAAGACGGCGCTCAAGTCTTTCCTTTGCAAGAAGGACGTTTTTGCTGTTTTGCTGACCGGATACGGCAAGAGTCTAATCTACCAGTTAGCTCCGTTGGTAGCTAAGCGTATACGTCACCCCGTGTATTGTTCTGATTGGTCGTAGTGTAATCCAATTGCGTGCAGTGATATTTACAAATGCATGCTTGGTGCCACCCCTCGAGTTGGGCCATTTTCATTACTCATGGCCAGACCCTAAATCTTTCTAGATTTGGGTCTGGATTTCCAGGGTAGGTCACGTTGCCTTTTTGATTCCCTTTTGCGCTTTCTTGGCATGATCCTGCATAATGCTCAAAGAGTGAGACTTTGTTATGCTGCAGTAGTGCCGGGGTAGTAGCGAAGCACCTCTCGCTCCTCTCCTTCGGCTTCTCAGTCACGCATCGCTGGCCTAGCTCTCAACAAAAACACAGAAGGCGGGGCTATTCCCTGGTGGTGCTATATTTCCCTTGCTGGCAGATGTATTTTCAAGATGGCGAAACGTTATGGAACCCCCCAAATGACTTACCCGCCCAATGTATAAACAAATCTGAAATTCTCCTTTTACGAGAATAAGTCATATTATTGGTGGAGGTAATAATACACCAATGGTGACATATTTCTGAATGCAGACATCAGTTTTTGCCAATAAACAACTGAAAATGCTACACAATGTCCCTTTAAGTTCTTTGTGGTTCACTCTTGCAACATGACTGGATGTTGTCGAATTGGTTCAAACAAAGTGGATCTTGGAATGAAGTGTTGACTTGCTGGGAAAGAATAGCAGAACACTTTTTAAATAACAGACAGAAGTCTGTTATTTAAAAAGTAAGAATACTTTTTGGCCTTGTGGGAAGGTATCAAGTGTTTTCAAGTGAAAAGGCTCAAGTCCAAGTGAAGTTATAAGTCAGTGGTGTTAAAGGCCAAGTTGAGTTGCAAGTCTTTTTTGATTTTGTCAAGTCATGTCTAAATTCAACAAATTTGTAACTTTCTTTGTAACTTTGTAACTGACTCGAGTCCAAGTCATATGACTCAAGTCCAAACCTCTGCCATATACTGTAGTGAAAAGTCCTATCAAATGTTTTCCACAAATATTTTCTAACATTCTAACAATGCATTTAGAAATGGGTCTCTGATTTCACTTTACCCAGACTTGAAATTTGACTCTGGCTGCTAAAGATTTCCTTTGTCTTCTTGGAAAGTAACCATCAAATAAGGCTCTTACTTTGCCAATGAGTAACTGACTGAGCCAGATGTGTCACCCTGCTCCCAGTCTTCATTGCTAATCAAATCCTGAATCCATTCCTGTACTTAACACACAGACATGAAATTGATATTGATTGGTCTTCTCATCTCACTCTTGTAAAGAAAGCAAATGTAAAAGTATTTCTCAAAAGGTTAGATTTGTTTTCTTGAACTTGTTGTTATAGTCAGTGCTGTAGAACCAAATACAAAAGATATAAAAATAATGGCACACAGGTGGTGATCATCATAAAGTAAACATCCAATTATTCTGCGTATCAGGAGGTGGTGTATCAGAGGGTAACTAAGTTTTTGACAAGTATTGTTTTTTATGACCTTTGACATATGGCTTTTTCACAGCAGACATTTTGAGTTGGCTTTTTCCATTATGTGTCCTAGTAAATCATGCCAGTGAGCCAGCACAAACAATAGACCCTTTCACACATTTGGACTCATCAGAGCAGGAAAGACAAAGATGGAACTAATAACAATATTGATGGCTCAGATCCATATGGATGCACCAGTGAGCCATGCCAGAGTCAACATGCACAATACCAGCACCCTGAAACTGGCACACCTAAATGGAATGCAGCCATCAGTGATTCTTGTTATTACTTACACCTGTGCCCTTTCTGCTAATACATCCAAAATTCCTGCTGTAAAAAAAGTGTATATTCATTTTAACAATTCATAAGTACGCTTATTCAGCTCTCTGGAAGACAGAATGTGTCTTTTTAGAGCTGTACAATATTAGACTCTTGTTAATCTGACTGAATTTAAATAAAAACACCCCAAACTAAACCAGCTCTGTAACACAATGTCATTTTGAAATTATACATTAATTAGTAAGTCTTTTTCCAAGGGCAAAAGGATAAGCATAAATGAAACCATTTCCAGGGTGAAGCTAAGTACAGAAGGAGTGCAGTCATCGAAAATTTCTTGAGGATGTTCCAATTAACAAGCATGGTAATTGTAAATTAAGTTGTGTGGGGCATTTTGTGAAAGCCTTAATCTTATAAACACCCTTGCATATGTATGTGAAGGTCAGATTGATTAATTCCTATTTGTGTCAGTGCTTTAACTCTTTGCTGTGTTTCTGTCTTCAGTAATCCTTCGCTATGTCTGTCCATTAATTCTTATTCTTAGTCTTTCACATCATTAATATATGCTGACTGTTTCAGTAGAAGTTTTACATTGTTTTTAATTAACTGATTATTTTAGTAATGTCATTGTCATGTGGTTAAATATACTGTATGTTGAGAGAACAACCTGACCTCGAGGTCCATTTTGTAGCTGTTCTGGAGCTTTCGATCATATTAAATGATCTTCATCAGCAGGTTAAACATTGGTTTTGAATTTTTCTCAGTGCAGAAAGAAATCTGTGCCATCAGATGTATGAAAAATGTCTTTGAAAATTGTAAAAAGCCAGGTTTTAGTATTAGGTAATCATATTAGAATCTGATTATTACTCTCTCTTTCTCTCTCTGTCAGATGCTCCAGAGGGAGGTGGGAGGGGCTTGGGTGGTGCTGCACCAATCAGCGATGAACTGGACATCTTTGGACCAATGGTCTCCAACCCTCTCCCCTCTTCCAACAACACACAGCAGGTAACAAACACACACACACACACACACACACAGTCTCAGGCTTTCATCATCTGCTTATCACCACAGGCAGGCCGCAACACAGGGAGTCTGTGGAGACTCCCATGATGCAAGTGCGCACACACACACACACACACACACACACACACACACACACGTCATCTCTCTGATACATGCAGACACATACTCTCTAAGGATCATATCAAAGCAAACTGTCAGACTCTGCTTTACCGAATCAATTTGACCAGTGTCCTTCAAAGTGAGTGTGTGAGAGAGAGGGAAGAGGAACAATGGTGAACTGTGACAATGGAGACAACAGCTGGGAGCTGGGAGAGAGATGTGATAGTATTTTTTAGAATATAGCAATAATAATGTATTTCACTGAATTTGTCTAAGACTTCTTAAGTTAACCCCTCCAATCTATGTAGCAGAGCTAGATTAAAATATACAACCCAAATAAAGAAACAAAAACAAGCAATAACACACCTGTTGTCTGCATGTAATTTGAATCCAATGCAGCTGATGAAAGAACACATGGATAAACTGTGTTTGGACATATGGGGAAAGATTACACGCACCAAATACTTTTATGTGCATTTGCTTTTTGTAACAGCCCTGAAAAATTCAAATAAGGTGAATGAGGAACAGATTGAAAAGGAATGAGTCAAATAATCAGAAATGAAGAGAGATTTTTTTGAAGTAAAAAAAAATGGGAGGGGGAAATGGAGGGAGAGAGCATGAGCATAAAATGATAGAAGCCATATCTGACAGATTAATTGGTCACCATTCAAAAGTGTAATTTGGGAGATTAAAATGACAACTGTCAACAAACTGTGAAAAGGAACACTTGGCTGTGGTCAAGTTTATGTGCTGGTGACTGTTAATTGCATTCGGCTAAAGATGGTTTTGTCGAGAAAGTAGCACCATTGTAATTTTTTGATGTTCAATGAGATGGAGAGAAGCATCTTTAAATGTTGAAAAAGAGAGTGACAAGTATTTCGTAAAATTGCTGCTCGCCTTGCCTCATTTTCAGACACCTAGCTTGCAGCTAGCTTTTCAGTAAGTCATTAGAAATTAGTAAAAGTGGTGGAGAGTGAACAGTGTTTGGAATCTGGTGATTGTCATAAGGTAGTTATTTTCATAGTCTAGCTCAGAATCAAGACCTCTGTAAAACAACTTCCCACGTTAGTGCTCAGGTTGGGCGGTTTGGGTAAGGTTGTTAGAAAATGTTGCAGGTTTTGGGCAGGCGAGTCATTAAGTGTTCTCAGTGAGATATTAATAATTTCAGAAACATTGTGCAATAATTCTACTTCCACCTTTTCTCTGCCTCTCTGCCCCTCTTACTCACACAGCAAGTAGCTTTCTCATCAGCACTACTCCGCTCAGGCTTGCTGTTATTCGTCTGTCAAAGTCCAACATATTAAATATGCTCTGGTCATAGTGTTCGGTAAAAATAGTTCCCTCAGAGATTATGCAAGCCTACCACCATGTCCTAACAGCAAGCAAGCATTTCTCTGAATCAGTTAAATATACATTTCTGTTGTCTTGTAAACAAACCACTGTGCCAATCAGCTGTGCGCACCAGATCATATTTAAGATTTAACCACGTAAAAGATGGATGAGTGCTGTTTTCCTGTGTTTGTACATATAAACAGCAAACACTTGTTTTATATTGTGATATTTACTGGGAATGACATACAATATATCCAGCAGCAAGTAGGGTGTTATTGGCGAGGTAGTTGACAGAAATTTTCAGCTCAAGTTTGTGGGTTTATTGGTCGGTTTTAGGCTACTGATTAACATACATGTTTGCGGTTCATGTAGGTCGTTAGGTTGGTACAGGTTTTAAAAAGCCCTGACCCGCACATAGCTATTGTGTGTATACTTGTGAGATCTGGTTCTGATTTGTTATGTGGCTTTCTTAGGACTTAAACAAAATCACTGTTGTGTTAGCCTAAAACAGGCAAATCTAATCAGTTTACACCATAGCATGTGTGAAACATAGCTTACTAGGTTCATTTTAGCAAGTACATGGTCAGGCATCACTCACCAAAAGTTTGTTATTATCATAAATGGACAGTATGTAGCTTTTATTAATTAAAAAAAAACACTACTTTTAAATACCATGATTATACCTGAAAATTGGCGTAGTAACCTATACTAAGTATCCCATTTGTGTTTTTGTCAATGTCAGCTGAATTAACATTATTTTGCAGAAAACTAGCTTAATTTTCTCTGATGGTTTGAATAAATGAAACTGCCTTAAGTAATACTGTTAAATACACCAAACAAATACACGTTTGGAGTTTATAGAAAGTAAAAACTAAGATAAAATCAGAGATGGAATGATGGAGTTGGGTGTGCAATGAGTGTCCGCAGCCATATTAGATTGTCGTCATCTTCTGGGTAAACAAAGCAAAACTGGGTGTTTGTCTGAATAAGAAGAGAAAGAAAATGAACAGGAATGGATGACATTCTTGACTGTATTTTCCAGATATTTGTCCTCACTTATTTTTCAGTTCCCCCTCTGCCAGTCCTTCAGCAGCTAGTCTCAGGGGAGCCAGTGTGGTTGGCTGAATTAAACATTTTCAAGGAGCAGCATTGAGTTTGAAATGCCATTGTGGTCCCTCAAGCGTGGCTTTTGACCTCAGCTCGGCTGGAAATGAGGACACACACATTCATGCAGACACATATTTAAACTCTTTCCCTCATACACACACTCAGAAGATGCATGCAGTTGCACACTTCTACTCAGGGACTAGAGAAAACACATGCAGAAAACAAACACGATATGCATTTCAAAGGACACACACAGACACAAACAGACACAAACTACAAGTGACCCAGTCCTGGGTTGAAAATTCATTCTTTAACTCTCTGACCTGTTCCCAGGTTTCAAGTGTAATATCTCACTCTGGTACATGCACAAGCACACGCACATCTCCGAGCCTCCTGGGACCAGACCAGGCAGTTGCTCGCTGGAGACCCATGCATGACAAACAATTATGGGCTGCTGTAACTGCAAGCTCCCCCTCTGCCCCTACCAGCCTCCCACTTACCCTCTAATCTCCCCTCCATGCTCACCTCCTCTGTGACTCCATCTACTGCAGCTCTGTGTGTGCCTCGCACCTCTGCTCATCTCCATAAACTTATTAGTCCTAAACTCTCCTCCTATACCAATCTCCTCTTCCCTCCTCTGTGAAAACCTGCTGTGGTCACAGGTGATGTGAGGTAACCCTGCTTATCCAGTCCCCTTTTTAGCAAATCAGGAACAAGTATGTCAGAGATCTTCCAACACTTTCACATGAAATTACTTCAGGAGGAGAAGTCTTTTTTTTTTTTTTTTTTTGAATGTTTTATTTTTGATTTTTTCAGTTACAGTTACCAACTGACAAGACAAAAAAAAATCCACAAGGTGGCAAAGTAGAAATGAAATGGATACTATGTACAATGACAGGACAATAGAAAGTGGAAAAAATAAAAAAATAATAAAAAATGAATAAATAAAATATATTATGCAATAATCAGGGATACAGAGAGAGACAAAGGGTAGCATCTGGAAATTAGTCTCAGGAGCAGAAGTCTATTCATTTTCTTTAGGGTTATGCAGTATTTATAATAGGGATGGGAATTCATTTCTATATTAAAGTACTCACATTAAATTGTTATAGAGTACTTGAGTACTAAATTGGCTTACAACAGAAAACAAGTGCAATTTGAGGTCTTGTGCGTGAACAACCAGGCTTCAATCAAGCTATGAAACCATAAATTCAAAGTTAACAATAGAAAAATCAACTTTCTGTTGCTGCCATTACATAGGTAACACAGCAGCTGCAGCTAACATCCAACACCAAGCCGTTAAAGGTCCCAACAAACTCACACCCATAACTGTTAATAACAGGTAACGTTAGCCGTGTGAAGCTAACAGTTAGCCCTGTCACTGTGTGTGTGTGTGTGTGTGTGTGTGTGTGTGTGTGTGTGTGCAGGCGGACACTCACCAACTGTCCCCTGGTGCAGAGCTCACGCTCCAGCAGCAGTAGTTTCATGTTAAAAAAAATAAATAAATGGAAAAAAGTCATGTTCATGTTGGTGAGGTTGGGTGGAGATTACAAATACCAACATCCAAATCAAGTACTTCTACTCATCCCTAGTTTATACAATTTTTTGTAGCCTCCAGTAACCTTAACCAACCTGCTTAAGCGCCTGAAAAGGCAAACATACATGAATTCCTCACAAAGTCTGACAAGCCATATTTAATTGATATAGAACTACATTGTAAATGCACATTATTTTTTAACCTCACACTGCATTCATACAACTATCTTGAGTTATCAGATGATGTGAAGGCTAGTACAAGTTGGAAACATGAGAACCTTTCCCATCTGTGCCTTGCAATTAGAGTGTGGCACAGAGTGATTCAATTGTGTGTCCTCACAGAAACTTGGTGACAGAGAGACCCCCTGGTAGAGGTTTGTTTTGTTAAAGATGAAATAAATACAAAGTGAAACGCTTTTTTGGCAGAGCGGGGTTATATAAAATTGTATGGTGTGGCACAGCTAATAGCTTCATTTTGGCTCTTCTAGTTCTCTCTGTTCATTCAAAGGTCAACAGAGTCAAGATGATAATATATTGACTAATTATTGAATCATAGCTTAGCTGCAATAACAAGGCACAGCAGGTCTGTCAGGTTTGGGACTTTAGCTGAAGTGACACCGAGTTTAAAGGGATCTATTATGCATTTCATTATTTTCTGTCATATATGTAATGTTGTATGTTCATATTTCATATTTCAACTCTGCCAAAATTTCAAATAATTACGTAAATGTATGTAAAAGTGATCCCAGTGAGCAAAAACTTTCACATCACATGTCTTTATGTGGTCGCCTGCTCCAGGCACACTACTGCAAGTGTTTACATTATATACCTTGCCCCATGTAGCTTCATGCTAACACCTGCAATGACAGTGCAGTGACAGAAAGGGCAGAGAGGGAGGGGAGCTTAAA